TGAAACATACTTAACTTCCGTGTACGATTGGAAGTGCGATTTGCTGATGGAGGATTCGCCTTCTCCCTGGTTATTTCTGCTTACTTGCTCAACTCACACCGCGTTGTATACTTCTGATTTATTGTAGGAGTCTACTGCTCTCAACCGAAGACGTTTCTACAACTGGAACACAGCAGACGCAACCGAAACAATTAACGTACCCGTGGGTTCTATAAATAATTTGTAGCAGAGGACTTTAACTTTATATCCAAATAATCCTTTTTGTTGAAATAACTCGTCACTGCATTTTTGGTAATATATTGTCATTTAACATTTCATTGACTTGGATTATAGTTCTCATATTTGTAATATTAGTGAACTGGAATATTAGTCCCCTACTGTTGTATACAACAGTATATCCTGTCACACAATGGTCTGTGAGCTGAAGAACACGTCGTTCCTTTACACTGTGTGATTCGTCTCCTTCAAGAAATCCACGACATCTAGTTGAAAGCGATTATTCAGAAGTACATTTTGAGACTCAAGGACGTCACCGAAGAACGGTTACCTCATGTACTGGAACACGTTGCCACCAATAATCAGGCTTTTCCTCAGGTTCAGTAGAAACTTGCGAACCAGAAGCTTGTAAACACTTTAGAGTAGATAACATCACCAGAACTCATTTCGTAATCGATTGAAACAAGCAGCAGCGAATTGTCCTATCTTGATGTGTGACCTCTCAGTAGGCGTGGTAGCTGTGAATTCACGTTAACTTCTTACTTCTAGAATCAGCCAACGAAACTGACCAACTATTTCAACTATTTATCATCTGAATCTTAAGTTTGTATGTGGTGATTTTAAATTGTCAAGGTTGTAGGACTTTAGAGTGACGGCGTGTCTCAGTAGTAAGTGACGTACTCAAACGTTTTGATAAATGAGTCCTTAAAAGACTTCATAATCATGAAATTATTCACATCCACTTTGGTATTTGTGGGAGCGGATGAGGACATATGTCCCAGAATAATTTTCCATGGCGCACTCCAACAGTTTTGAGTTCTTTCCAAAATCACGACCTATGCATCATAAAACAAACACTTCAGTTTTTGAATTTGTGGTAGAAGAAAAACTGCAGGGATGTTCACTATGAACCCTGAAAACTCTAGGCGAAAATCGAATGGTTTAAGGCAAATATTTTCGTGGGTCTATATACTACTGGAGTCCTTTTTACACTGTCTTCTTAACTGCCACACTTTACGCAGGTTTTCCTGACTAAGGTTTGCTTGGGTACAAATTGGAGCAAACACTTTATGGGACAACAGAGCACCGTGTGCAGATACCGACTGACGAAAGTTCTACACGTAGCTGTTTTCAGCTATGTGATGGGCACTATGATGACTGGCTGTGCGATCATTGCATACTGTCTGTCTGGATTCAACATACAACTTGGCACCGAAGTGCACCAGTTCGAGTTGCCACGTTCCAAATAGCACAGAGGTAGACAAAAAGATGAGTGAAGAGAATCAATACAGTCTGACAAGTATCAGAGTGAAACAGAATGGGTAATGGTAGAAAGGAATATGAAAGATTGCAGAGACTGAATACATCTGCGCTGGCCATTGACAACGATTTTGAGCCATGTCACCTGTTGTCTCCAGCCATTGATTCCTAGAGACCCGAGGGCCCAACCCGGGATTGCATCCTGGTAATAAGGTCACGGCTACTCAAAATATAGATAGGGTCAGGTCGATAAAGTAGTAGAGGAAAATCAAATACAAAACTAACAGCAATCCAATCGGTTACTGATCGGTCGTCTAAGTTGTGTAGCGAGCTTTAGATAGCGTAGTTGGAGTTCTCGAGATTGTAAGAATCGGTAGTTGAGGTCTTCTGATAGCCTAACTGAATATCATTTAGTATGTATTACATATATTTACCTCATGTAATCTTCCAAATAGTTAACCTCCAATCGTTAGTGTCTCTCTAAATTGTTAGTTGAGTAGATGTACTTCTGTGCAGATTTCTGTATGATGTAGTTAGTCAGTTTTCTTCGCAACTTACTGATGGTTGGCCTTCAAAATTAAAATCTCCAAAGGACTTCCATTTCTTTTTACTTTTTTGGTTATGTGACCGTATACATATGCCGCTTCTATCATGTGGTTGAAAGTGGTCTGTAGGGAGATCGCCATGAACCACCTAACAAATTCAAACTACAGCACCATGGCTATTCATCATTGCGAACATAACTGGTGGAATTTAGTTATCACTACCAACTAAATAGATGGCAATGAATATTTTCTAGTGATCATGGACAATTTCATTCTTATGTCAGATGGTTATACCGTAACACATGGCTTGTATCCAACTCACTGGCAATCTGATAAGATTTGGATGCACATTCTGTCCACCATATTTTCTACAAACGTGGAAACCTATTAAGTCTTCTTCCCTACTGTTATCCATGACATTTTCTTCCTGTGTGTTGATTACTTCGGTATAAACCTAGCTCTAGTTAGTTGACTATTACTCAGTCGTTAGCAGCTTCGGAGTTCAAATTCAAGGTAAAGCGTTTAAATAAGATTTGAACTTATCAGTGTATTAAAGTTCTGACTTTTTGAACCATGTTACATTTTCATACATAGAGAAAACAGAGGTGATAAAGATTTCTGATTGCTGATATTTTGCCTTCATTTCTCGGAGTGTAAATACCTTTTTTGTAAGGACTGGTTCTATTCGAATTTTCTATTTTCACCACGCCAATAACATGGTCATTGTTCTACCCAGGTTTCGTGCTAGCTAGCACTCATCATCAGGGCGTGTCTGCAACCTCGAAAGAACTCATATCTCTTCTGAGATTCGAACCTGCGTTACTCAGTGCTGCAGTCAGAGACGTTACCACTGAACTATTCGGGCTCGCGATTGGCCTCCTCCCTGTAGAACTGTAGTTGGTACTTTGTTTGGACACTAGTAACTAGTGTTCTGTGTCTAGTCTTTTCTACCAGTCAGGTTCGCAATATGGCCACCATTCTAGGTCGCTCGCCATCACTGTACACATTCATATGATGATATTAAATGGTTGGATGCAATCGGCAGGAAGCAACTTAGCATGCTGGCTTCATTGCAAACCTGACTGATAAAATTTAGTCTGCACCAAAGAAAGGACAAGACACATCACACTTGTTACTAGTGTCCAATCAAAAATGGTCATTTTGTCAGTAATGTTAATCTGGTGTTTTCTTTTAGAAACAAGTGTTTGTTACTTTCATCTGTTCGATAAATTTTTTTGTTGGAAAAATTGCGTTTACCTTATTCTATATAACTGCTGAATAACGTCATGGTTTCGAAAAAAATAAAGCTCAAATGCATTGGTCTCATTGTAATCGATTGTGGACCAAATCACTAACCTGATATTTCCTTTGATAAGTTCCTCATTCATGAAGAAGTTCCCTTATAACTGTAAAAGAATAACCAGCTATTTCTTACTATTCCATATTTTTTATTATTTAACATCATGTTAAAGTGGCAGTTAAGAACGTGTGCCTTGTCACAACTGAATTAGAATTTGCACATCTAAGTAGCATCATATTCAAAATACTCGGGAGGGGGGAGTTGTTGCTGCGTTTATTTAAAATGACAAACTATGAGGTAGTATCCGGTTGATTCTTTGTTTGCTTTACGATATAAATTTCTCGTTAGTTTACAGTATGCAGATGGTAAAGTCCTCCTAGGTAAAGACGCTGACAAAATACAGTCTTGTAAACACCTTAAGTGGAAAATTGAGTGTGTTCGGCATGTAATTCCCCCTTATCAAATGTAAGCTGATGCTGCAGGATTAGTCTACACTGCTTTTCAGTTTAAGGATAGCAAGTGAAACGGTTAAGAGTGCTGACCGCCTCACTTATCAGGAGAATTGTATGTACCCTAATGGAGAGGATTGATAACAAAATCTCAGCTGTCGTATGGTACTTGACATTTTACGTCATTTCTGGTGTAGACTTGATAAGGCTGATGATCGAAGAACATGTGTACTGAGAAGCCGTTCTCTAGGCCTTTTTTTATGGCCATGAGACATGGTCGTTGGAACTACAGGTGTTTGTGTTCATTTTTCCCTGTTGGATGTTTTGTGGTGAGTAACATTGTGGGGTTGGGCTTAGTTTTAGGTAAGGAGGGAAGTGAAGCTGCATCCCTTCAGATGACTGGAACTCATGTTGCCCATGAAAAGCCGTTGCATTCCTCGTCGAACAATGTCAAGTGACGTAGGACTAGGTGGTCAAATAAAAACGTAACATCAATCCAACATATAGACATGTATAGAGGTAATGACTATCTAGCCGGAGTCCTTAAGGCGATAAGAAGAAATAGCTGCAGAATTTCGCTGACGTGACCTAAAATCATTCTTCTTAGTGGCTCAGAGATGCATTCAGTCCTTTATAATCTCCTAGAATCATTGATGAATACTGACTATTCTCCGTGTAATTATTCTCTCTCCTGTGGTTTTCCATTAATTTTAGCTTCTTTGCATTTATTTTTCTCTCAACCATCATGTGTAGTTTTATGAGGCTTGTCAATTTCAACTGTTACACCTTTTGTGTATAATTCTACTTTGAATGTTCAATTCAGTTAGTAATAAGTGTTGTGTAAAGTTTCCTTGTGTTATTTAAGTGTTGGTTTGTAGGGATTTGATTGGTTACAGGATTTCATCATGAGCTGAAATTGGTTAGAGAACCATTGGAAAATCAGAGCTGGAGTACTGGACAGCCAACTGTTTCGTCCTAGCTTGGAACTCTTCATTAGTACGCATCCACCACAGGGGTTCGAACCCATGACCTCCTGGTGACAAGACTAGCGAGCTCGTAGACCACTAAGCCACTGGGGCCCGATCCAATGGCCATCCTATGAATTCTAACTTCTACCAATTCACGCACGACATAGCGCGACCCCTAGCCAATGTTCGAAACTACTACGAAACAGTTGGCTGTCCAGTACTCCCAGGTTTTCCTTGTGTTATACTTTGCATCCATGTATCAATGGAGCATTTGTATGTTTGTATGTATGAACAGGCTACTTTCCTCTTGTGTTTCTCTTCATGTAGTGAATTCCTGTGTGCTACTACTCAAAATCACGTGCATATTATTAATTGACCGCGTATACGGCGTTGAGCAAGTTCAGTCGAAGGCATTAATCAACAGTTCTTTAGGCAATACAACTGTAAGTAATGCCCCTGTACAAGTAAGTGGCTTATAAGATGAGATATACGAAGATTTAATCTTTTTTTTAAATAGTTAACAACCCTTAAATTCCATTCATCTGAAACACATAACAATTCAACACCATCACCAACTGCTGGTCTACCGTTAAAAGTAAGTGGAAATAAAAGTTTTGAGTGTCTAAATTTTTAATTCACTTCTCTTAGTCTGAAATCAGAACATCGCCTACTCCAGTTGCTTCAAATGCTTCGTCAACTGTTCAGCCTATACATTCTACTAAACAGTCTGTCCAGTCTACTACATCAACCAGAGCAGTAACAACTGAACACGATGATTTTTTGCACCATGATGATATAGAACAAGAGGAGCTAAAAGCAACAAAGTTAAATGAAAATCCTGTGGATATAAATGACTCAATAGATGTACCACAAATTGATGATTCGCCGAAAGAAAGTCACCATAATCAAAGGATCAATGATAGATATGTTTTTAAAGAACCGTTACCTCGAAAGACAGGAGGAGACCGTAACCGACTGCTTGATTCTGAAGATTCATTTGTGGAACGTCAATGTAAGCTATTTATTTTTATGACAGGATAAATTTTACACTGATTGTTTTCTTTTTTTGAGTTTGAATTTTAATGAAAGATGATTGGTGCTGAGTATATGAACAGCAGGTGCGTCGGTGGCATAGCGTTTAGGACGCTCGCCGACCATCCACATGGTCCGGGGTTCGATCCCCGGCCACGGACGAACTCCTTTGCCTCGCTAAGCCAAAAATAATGCTGGTAAAGAGTAAAAAGGTTGGGCATGAGGCTAGAAACCCCATCCTGTGAAAAAATAAACACTGATACAGAGACTTCAAGCCTCTAGCTTGAAGCCCTATGTTCCACTGGGAACGTGAAGAAAAAAATATATAAACAGCAGATGTTATTAGTATACTTGTTTTTTCAAGAGCTTTGTGTTTATGTTGATATTGAATTTCACTTCACATGGTAGACGTTACATTTCAGTGGTTGAATTTCACTTTTTGATGAATTAGCAACATCTAGTAATAGTGTAACAGCAGAAGACAAGGGCCAGGCAACAGATCAACACATATTTATAGATTTTCATGTATATTATTATAGATTACTGTTAGCAGAAAAACAGTTTTCTGATTGGTGGTTGCTTCCCACAGAAAGTTAACCTTGCATTTCTTTGCGGCTGTTTCTTGAATGTCAGATCATCTATATGTTAAGTGTATTTGCCTATGCAGTCTTTGTTCTTATTTTTCTCATGACCAATATTTGAGACATGAACATTGACGTAAATTATTTTCTACCAGTTAGGCTAGCAGACAGCTCTCACTACACCACAATAGGAGTTTCTAATGTATTGGTATTATACTTAGACGTTAACAGCCGTCTATTTCACTTTATTGACTACAACATTTCTGTTTTCTCCCATGGAAGAGTTTACTTGAACAGTGTTGTAGTAGTAGCTGGTTTAAGTACTCAAGCTGCCATTCAAATGAGTAAAGACACATGTATTCGGCAAGAGTGAATAATAATAGATACCCTGAATCAGCCAATCGGATCTTATTTCACTATACATGCACACTATCCACGGTCTCTGCGTTGCAAGTCTAAACCCAAATTTGATTTTTGAATTCTGTGTGGAAAATGAGTTGATAGGGAAGAATAAAACATGCATATCTAGACGCATAATGACTCTTCAGACGTATTACTAGGTTATTGAAGGTCGTGCATCTAGATGGAATCGCTGTCATAGCACAGGAAGTCTCTAGGAGTTGGTAAGTTGTACATTATGGTGATTTTTTCTGGAAATCGAAGCTCTGGCTTACTAAAATATTAGTGTATATGCCACAATTGGATACTGAAACAGCTGTGGAAACAGCATACTAGGATGTCAACAGTGAAATGAAATCAACACTTTCAGGATATTGCCTCACAAAAGAACAGGGGGATTACTTGTGTACTTGAAGGAGTTGGTGTTGTCGTTCATATTGACGAAACGATACTTTATTAGATGAAAAATGAATCACCGGCGGAGAAGAGCAAACAATCCTTGGATGCTGGGACTGTATGGCACAAATCTTGAAAAACGGTTCGTAGAACGCATTCCAAACAGAAGTTCTGATGGTTTAATCCCAGACACTAGCATTCACACAGACGAATGGAAAGGTTATTCGCAACTATCAACATGAAGTTCTTCTGAATTAGTGGATCTTATAAGTGGGACTTATGTAAGTTCTATTGAAGGATTCTGGGTCCACCTAAAACAGGGGTAGATTGGTTAATGGTCCTCGGAATTATCTTATATACAGTCACCTAGATGAATTTTCGCATCGACATTGGTGTGATACGTGTATAAGCACTCCTATGTGAAGCTAAGACCAATTACACCCCGGGTAATTCTTTACATATAATATATATATATATATATATATATATATCAGTAAATATACTTTTACACCATAAATGCCACTTAAGATGTGGGACAATCTGATTAGTCAATTCAAGGTCATTTGACTGTTATCAATTTTTTACTGTTGTCATATATATTCATGTTTTACACTTCTTTTTAAACTAAGCGTGTATACTGTAATAAATAGCCTAATAAGCCATACGGATTGGAATGACTGTCCTGTGATGTCGTGCCGTATCGTTTCAGAAAGATCTTCTGAATAAGACAAGATAAGGCTAGAGGTGTTCACAGCCATTGTATAAGTTGTCTATACTATATGTACAAGTCAGGAGGAAGTCATATTGTCGATAAGATTTTTATCTAGCAAGTCATGCCTACTACTCATATGGAGTTGTAGAAAAGAGTCAACTAAAAGAGGTGTATACTCCAGTTTACTCTGTGGCGATGCTTAACCGAGGTATACTGTTTCCTACGGGTTACACCCTAGGAAGTATATCACATGTCTGAACGACTGACGTGAAGCAGCGATAACTTTTGGTTCTTCCAGTCACGTGATGAAACTAGTCCTAAGGAAGCCTGATATTATCTCCAATTAGTTGTTGTCGATACATTATCAAATAGTGCTGTTTGCTTTTATAATCCATAAGAAAATAGTTATAAAAGATCACATTAGATATCGATAGCAGCTAATGACAACTAATGAATAGACAAAGCCATACTCTCTCTCTTTTTCCCTTAAGTTCAAAACAAATTATAAAGACCACCGCAGGTGAAAATATGGCTAACGAAGTATTCGTAACAATTACTAATTTAATGAGCAGTAATGAGTAGTCACAAAGACACTGATGACTATTGGTAATAGCTGAGCATTATTCATGTTGATTGGCAGGTGTTAGCGAAACTTTTATGATGATTGGATGGATCAACAATTCATTCATAAAAGAAGTGGTTAAAATAATGAGCAAAAGACTTTGCAAAACTGTTCAAACAACTTCTTGCTACTTTCTTGACTGATTGAATTACTAAATTTTAAGTTTTGAGCAAAATCTCACCACTTCAAATTACCACACATTGGCAAAAGGCAAAAAAGTGGGTTGGGGGAGGGAAACATACTTGAAGGCAGAATGATTGGGTTGGGTGAATAATACTTATAATAATGAGGAGTGAGTATGTGGTGAGAGCTGGCTGTTAGTCAAAATTGATGGACAGTAATTTACGTCAATGTTTATGTCCCCAATATTGGTCGTGGGAAAAATTCGAACAAAGGCGTTGCGTAGGCGGATACAGTTAGCACATAGATGATCTGACACTCAAGAAACAGCCACAAAGAGATGCAAAGGTAACTTTCTGTGAGAAACAACCACCAATCAGAAGACTGTGTTTGTTTGCTTGAATGAGCTATAATATTGTACATGAAAATATATAAATATGTGTTGATTTCCTTAATAAACGATCTGTTGCCTGGACCTTGTCTTCTATTGTTACACTCTGACACAACTGACTCAATCCATAAAGGCACTACCGACTGTTATACTGAACTGTATGCAAAAATGTAGATCGTAGATGGCTTAACATCTACGTGATTGTTTTGGATACTTTAGGTGATTTGACTGAGAATCGATCACAGTGAGTGCATTCGTGTTTCTTTTTCCCCTGGTTTATTCTGACTTGAAACACTATTTGTGCTGCCTACAGTCTTCCATCCCCTTGCATTCCGAGTAGGGCTTCTTCAAACTACAGCTGTGAAGTTTAAATGGCCATGCTGATGGTATGTTTTAATGCCTAGAGTTGCTAGTCTCATGCCCAACCTTCACTCATTACCGGTGGTAAGATGAGGTTTCTAGGATTGTGTTGGCCAGGAATCGAATCCGGCCGATGTGTGCCTCCATTTCTTACCTGACATCCAGCGAAAAGCTAGTTAAGTAGACTCTTGTATTAAAATTTCATTCAGATATTTGTATATTATTACAGATCGATCAGTTAATTTATTTGTGATCTTTGCATTTTATATTGCATTTTATTTATAAGCAAAATTATAATAAGAACGGTACTCCTTACACCTTACATAACGTAATACGTTTTTCGAGCACAAATTTGACCAGTATCTGATTGGTTGTCTTGTGATTTCTTTGTTAAATATAATTACAGTTGTACAGGTTATGAAGATGAATCGTCGAAAAGGAAACTTTCTTCACTGTTCACGTCTTCCTTTTCTTATCACTAAATGTTGTAATACTTCTTTGTTTCTTTCACGTTCCGCAGTGGTATATAGGACTTCAAGCTAGAGGCTTGAAGTTTCTGTATCAGTGTTTATTTTTTCACAGGATGGGGTTTCTAGCCTCATGCCCAACCTTTTTACTCTTTACCAGCATTATTTTTGGCTTAGCGAGGCAAAGGAGTTCGTCCGTGGCCGGGGATCGAACCCCGGACCATGTGGATGGTCGGCGAGCGTTCTACCCGC